AAAAAAAAAAAAAAAACCTAACAATGTTAGGAACCATTAGGAAAGAGATAGATACTAAGACAGAAAAAATATCATAATGCCTCTATATCAGTGGCCAAATCAGGAAGGCCAAATCACACTTGGAGTTGCAGCTAGCAAGGGATGTTAAGAGTAACAAGAAGGGTTTCTTCAGGTATGTTAGCAACAAGAAGAAAGTCAAGGTAAGTGTAGGCTCCTTACTGAATGAGGGAGGCAACCTAGTGAGAGATGATGTGGAAAAATGTACTCAATGCTTTTTTTGCCTCTGTCTTCATAAACAAGGTCAGCTCCCAGACTGCTGCACTGGGCAGCACAGCATGGGGAGGAGATGACCAGCCCTCTGTGGAGAAAGAAGTGGTTCAGGACTATTTAGAAAAGCTGGATGAGCACAAATCAATGGGGCCAGATGCGCTGCATCCGAGGGTGCTAAAGGAGTTGGCGGATGTGATTGCAGAGCCATTGGCCATTATCTTTGAAAAATCATGGCGATCGGGGGAGGTCCCTGATGACTGGAAAAAGGCTAATGTAGTGCCCATCTTTAAAAAAGGGAAGAAGGAGGATCCGGGGAACTACAGGCCAGTCAGCCTCACCTCAGTCCCTGGAAAAATCATGGAGCAGGTCCTCAAGGAATCCATTCTGAAGCACTTAGAGGAGAGGAAAGTGATCAGGAACAGCCAGCATGGATTCACCAAGGGCAAGTCATGCCTGACTAACCTAATTGCCTTCTATGAGGAGATAACTGGGTCTGTGGATGAGGGAAAAGCAGTGGATGTGTTATTCCTTGACTTTAGCAAAGCTTTTGATATGGTCTCCCACAGTATTCTTGCCAGCAAGTTAAAGAAGTATGCGGTGGATGAATGGACTATAAGGTGGATAGAAAGCTGGCTAGATCGTCGGGCTCAACGGGTAGTGATCAATGCTCCATGTCTAGTTGGCAGCCAGTATCAAGTGGAGTGCCCCAAGGGTCGATCCTGGGGCCGGTTTTGTTCATTATCTTCATTAATGATCTGGAGGATGGTGTGGACTGCACTCTCAGCAGGTTTGCAGATGACACTAAACTGGGAGGAGTGGTAGATACGCTGGAGGGTAGGGATAGGATACAGAGGGACCTAGACAAATTAGCAGATTGGGCCAAAAGAAACCTGATGAGGTTCAACAAGGACAAGTGCAGAGTCCTGCACTTAGGACGGAAGAATCCCATGCACTGCTACAGACTAGGTACCGAATGGCTAGGAAGCAGTTCTGCAGAAAAGGACCTAGGGGTTACAGTGGACAAGAAGCTGGATATGAGTCGACAGTGTGCCCTTGTTGCCAAGAAGGCTAACAGCATTTTGGGCTATATAAGTAGGGGCATTGCCAGCAGATCGAGGGACGTGATCATTCCCCTCTATTCGACATTGGTGAGGCCTCATCTGGAGTACTGTGTCCAGTTTTGGGCCTCACACTACAAGAAGGATGTGGAAAAATTGGAAAGAGTCCAGCGGAGGGCAACAAAAATGATTAGGGGGCTGGAGCACATGACTTATGAGGAGAGGCTGAGGAAACTGGGATTGTTTAGTCTGCAGAAGAGAAGAATGAGGGGGGATTTGATAGCGGCTTTCAACTACCTGAAACAGGGTTCCAAAGAGGATGGATCTAGACTGTTCTCAGTGGTACCAGATGACAGAACAAGGAGTAATTGTCTCAAGTTGCAGTGGGGGAGGTTTAGGTTGGATATTAGGAAAAACTTTTTCACTAGGAGTGTGATGAAGCACTGGAATGGGTTAGTTAGGGAGGTGGTGGAATCTCCTTCCTTAGAGGTTTTTAAGGTCAGGCTTGACAAAGCCCTGGCTGGGATGATTTAGTTGGGAATTGGTCCTGGTTTGAGCAGGGGGTTGGACTAGATGACCTCCTGAGGTCCCTTCCAAACCTGATATTCTATGATTCTATGAGTGATCCCCAAACTCTGGGACGTACCCCCCTAAGTGGGCATAGAGGAACATTCAGGGGGTGTGGTGGGGCCCAGGCCAGCCCCAACAGGGGCTGGGGAGGAAGCACCACCTAGCCCCACTCTGCCCCCAGCTCCGCTGTGGCCCCGCCCTTAGCTGCAGCCCCAGCCCCAGCCCCAGCCATGGCTCCGCTCCCAGCAGCAGTCTCAGCTGCAGCTTCGGCCTCGGCCCCTGGCTTCTAGACTCAGGCCCTGGCTGTGGCCCCACTCCTGGCCGCAGCTCCACTCCTGACCACAGCCCCAGCTTCAGCCCCAGCTCCACTCCTGGCCGCAGACCCGCTTCTCTGGCCCCGACCCCGGCTCCAGCCACACCTCCAGACCGCAGCCCTAGCCCTGGCTCCCGACCACAGCCCCAACTCCCGACCCCAGTCCTGGCTGCAGTTCCTCTCCTGTCCCCGGCTCCTGGGGTGGGGGAGGGGGCAGACAGATTGCATTATGGGTAAGGGGAGGCACTGCTCTATATATACATCCCTGGTATGCTCACACCTTGAATTCTGCATGCAGTTCTGGTGGCCCCATCTCAAAAAAGATGCATTAGAGTTGGGAAAAATACAGAGAAGGGCAACAAAAATGGTTAGAGATATGGAACAACTTCTATACAAGGAGAGATTTAAAAGCCTGGGACTGTTCAGTTTAGAAAACAGATGAGTAAGGGGGGGACATGACAGAGGTCTATAAAATCATGCCTGGTTTAGAATAAGTGAATAAGCAAGTGTTATTTACCCCTTCACATACCACAGGAGCCAGGGGGGTCACCTGATGAAATTAATAGTTAGTAGTTTAAAACAAACAAAAGGAAGTACTTCTTCAAACAACACAGTCCACCTGTGGCACTTGTTGCCAGGGGATGTCGTGAAGGCCAAAAAATAAGTAGATAAGTTAATGGAAGATAGGTCCCTGAGTGACTATTAGCCAGGATGGTCAGGGACACAACCTCATGCTCTGGGTGTTCCTAAACTTGCAATGACCAGAAGATGGATCACTCATGGAGCAGGTCCTCAAGGAAACCATTTTGAAGCACTTGGAAGAGAGGAAGGTGATCAGGAACAGTCAACATGGATTCACCAAGGCAAAGTCATGCCTGACCAACCTGATTGCCTTCTATGGTGAGATAACTGTCTCTGTACATATGGGGAAAGCAGTGGATGTGATATATCTTGACTTTAGCAAAGCTTTTGATACAGTCTCCCACAGTATTATTCCCAGCAAGTTAAAAAAGTATGGATTGGATGAATGGACTATAAGGTGGATAGAAAGCTGGCTAGATTGTCGGGTTGGCAGACGATATCAAGTGGAGTACCCCATGGGTCGGTCCTGGGGCCGTTTTTGTTCAACATCTTTATTAATGATCTGGATGATGGGATGGATTGCACCCTCAGCAAGTTCACAGATGACGCTAAGCTGAGGGGAGAGGTAGGTATGCTGAAGGGTAGGGATAGGGTCCAGAGGGACCTAGACAAATTGGAGGATTGGGCCAAATGCAATCTGATGAGGTTCAACAAGGACAAGTGCAGAGTCCTGTACTTAGGAAGAAAGAATCCCATGCATTGCTACAGGCTGGGGACTGAATGGCTAGGCAGCAGTTCTGCAGAAAAGGACCTAGGGGTTACAGTGGACGAGAAGCTGGATATGAGTTGACAGTGTGCCCTTGTTGCCAAGAAGGCTAACGGCATCTTGGGCTGTGTAAGTAGGGGCATTGCCAGCAGATCAAGGGAAGTGATTATTCCCCTCTATTCGGCACTGATGAAGCCACATCTGGAGTATTGCGTCCAGTTTTGCCCCCCCCCCCCCACTACAGAAAGGATGTGGACAAATTGGAGAGAGTCTAGCGGAGGGCAACAGAAATGATCAGGGGGCTGGGGCACATGATTTACAAGGAGAGGCTGAGGGAACTGGGCTTGTTTAGTCTGCAGAAGAGAAGAGTGAGGGGGGATTTGATAGCAGCCTTGAAGGGGGGTTCCAAAGAGGATGGAGCTCAGCTGTTTTCAGTGGTGGCAGATGACAGAACAAGGAGCAGTGGTCTCAAGTTGCAGTGGGGGAGGTCTAGGTTGGATATTAGGAAACACTATTTCACTAGGAGGGTGGTGAAGGACTGGAATGGGTTACCTAGGGATGTGGTGGAATCTCTATCCTTAGAGGTTTTTAAGGCCCGTCTTGACAAATCCCAGGCTGGGATGATTTAGTTGGTGTTGGTCCTGCCTTGAGCAGGGGGTTGGACTAGATGACCTCCTGAGGTCTCTTCCAACCCTAATCTTCTATGATTCTATGATAAATTGCCCTGTTCTGTTAATTTCTTCTAAATCATCTGACACCGGCCACTGTCGGAAATGGACCGTTGATCTGGCCTAGTATGGCCATTCTTATGTTCTAAATAATGTGACCAGGTGTTTAGTCAAGGCACTAAAGTGAATGCTTCTCTTGAAAGAATGTGATCTACAATCACTACACCACTGGGAGGGTTTGCAAGCACTCTGGAGGGCAGGATTAGATTTCAGAAGGTCTTGATCAGGTGAGGAATTGGTCTGAAATCTAAAAGATGAAATTCTGTGAAAATAAGTGCAAAGTGCAACATTTAGAAAGCAAAACTCAAATGCACAACCACAAAATGGGGAATAACTGGCCAGGTGCTTGTACTGTGGGCAAGGATCTGGGGTGCTAGTGGGTCACTGATGGAATATGAGCGATGCAGTTGTGAAAAAGGGTCATATAGTTAGGGATGTATTAACAGGAGTGGGGTATCTGAGACACGGGAGGGAACTGTCCCGCTCTGCTCCGCACTGGTGAGCCCTCAGCTGCAGAACTGCGTCCAGTTCTGGGCACTGCACTTTTAGAAAGAGGACAAGTTGGAGAATGTCCCATAGGACTACAGCTCCCAGCATGCCCTGGGAAGGGCAGGCCGCGCTATAGGACTACAGCTCCCGGCGTACCGAGGGGCCGGCGTGCCGTTGGTCCGCACAGGCCGAAGGGCGCGGAGCCGGCTCGGGGCCCGATGGAGGCGGCCCCGCCGCTGCCCCCGGTCTATGTCTGTAGCCCGGAGTACCTGGCGCTGTGCGACTCCCTCTGCAAAGTGTCTAAACGGGTGGGTGAGCGGGGGGCCCTGTGGGGGGCAGGGTAGGACACTGGAGTGTGGCGTGGGGAGCTTGGGAGGGGCTTTGTGGGAGCAGGGTGGGGCGGTGCGGTGTGAGGAGTTTGCGGGCGGGGAGCTGTGATGGGCTGGTTGGGAAGCTTGGGGCGTCCTGTGTGGGGTGGGGTTTCTGGGTGGAGGTGGCAGAGGGTAGTGGGCCCTGGGGAGCAGGCTGTGACTTTCCCATCCCAGCTGAGACGGGGTTGGTGTAATCCAGCGGCCTGGGAGTAGCAGTAGGGTGGGTATAAAAACAGTGTGAAGTGAAGTACTCTCTCCGCCCCCCATGCCAGTGAGAACGTCTGTGTTATAATTGTTATTTGTATATCTGGAGGCCCTGCCCGAGATCAGGGCACCCTTGTGCCCAGCCCCACACAGACACATAGCAAGAGATGCTCCCTGCTCCCGAGCCTCAGCTGGCTGAGGGGAAAAGTGGAGCTGCCAAGTGGAAAAGATTTATGTGACGAAATAGCAATATGGGAGCTAATGTACCCCAGAAAGCTTTGTAAGGATCTTTAAAACCTGGCTAACAGAGAAATCGGGAGCAGGGAACCTTGTTTAGAAAAACGGGGTATAAATCTGTTTTGCTTTGATAACGTTTATGTAAAAATCTTCTCCTCTTCCCTGTGCTTAACTCCAGAGGGGGGATCTCAGCAGACCTGGCAGCCTCTAACCAAGCTGTTGTGTTCCAGTCTCTTGGATTGCCAGCGTCTTCTGGTGTGGAGGAGAGCACCACATGCTAGGACATTTTCAGTGTCCTCTGATCCAGGGAAGCCTAAGTGCATACAAAACTTCTGCTAGCTGAAAGAGTGAAACAGGCTTGAGGATAACTCCCCCTTGCTTGAGTAGTGCCAAAATTAGGATGTTGGCTTGAGACAGACAGCTCCCAAATAAACCTGGATAAGATCTTTATACCAAACTCTGCACCCCCATGTATTCTGCAAATGCCACATTCTTCAGAAGAACTATTTCACATGTGAATAGGAGTGAGTGGATGTTCAAGCCTTGTATCTGTTTTGCTGTTTAGGTTTCTCCAAGGCTGCCTATAACCATAGTTTTCAAGCACTAAACCCATCCAAGTCACACTGGGAAGGAAATCCACATAAGGGTGGGGGGGAAGAAATATTTGAGTGATTCCTTTTACTTAAAAAAAAAGGAAAAGGAAAACAAAGAAAAGGCTCTCTGAAGCTGTTCAGAGTTCAGGAGTGGTTGACATAGTCCCTGGGAGATGGATCAGTGGGCAGAGTCCAAGTGAGATGGTCAAAGATGCATGATAAATGCAGTGTGTCACATGGATGTCACCTGCGTGGTATATATAAGGCCCTTTGGGTTTGTTTTTATTTTATTTTTAATTTATTGGGATTTTCATTTTTTATTAATGTTAAAAAACAAACAAACAAACAAAAAACAACCTGGAGAAAATAGGTAGAAACTGAAATCAAAGGGCAGAGTGGGGGTGGGGGGAAGCCGAGTCTTACCATGTGGCAGTAGCCTTCCACTCCCTGCAGCGGTCCAGCCCTTTCAGCTTCCAGGACGTAGCTCCCCGCTTGTCTCATTCTGCCACTGTGCGGAGGAAGCAGATGGGGCCACGGTGAAGGGCTGAGTTCTGAAGGGGAGCAGAAGGCTGCACCCCTGACTACTGGCCCCTGGTGTATAGAGCCCCTCCTAACCTGGCTCACCCTTCCACACAGCCCCATCCGGTTTCCCTGCAAAAAATTCCTGGGTCCTGAAAAAGCCAAAATTTGTAAAATCAGTGAAACCTGAATATTGTTTTTTTCAAAACCCAGGAATTTTGGGGGGAAATTGGTAAAGACTAATAATGAAGGATCTTTGGTACATAGCACCATTTCAGTTTAGGATCTCTGACATATCTGCTCTATGTTTGTGTGGGGATTAGGTTGCAAGCTGCTGGGTTAGGGACATTCTTCTACGTATGGCGCAGGCCTACTTGGTAACCCTTGCATAACTTGGTAACCTGTGCTCTTACGTTTCTATTCTGTAGGCCAGTATGGTGCATTCTTTGATCAAAGCATATTCCTTACTCGACCACATGAGGTAAGTCACATCATCTATTTCCTGAAGAGTGTATGCTAATTGCCTGATCCTGTAGGTGTTGAGTATCCTCAGCTCTCCGGGAACTCAGTGCCATGCCGCATAGTGCAGGATTGGGCCCTGCATTCTGTGCATTCATAAAACCCATACACTGACTTCTTGTGTTATTGATTTGTACACAGAGTTTGCTTGTTCTGCTAAATGGACAGTGTTACAGTAGTTATGACAAATGCGATTTATCATCAGACCACAGAATCTGATGAGAAAAGTCTTCCAGGTACTAAATATCTAGTGCTTTTTTTTTAAATGTGTCGTGCCATGCCATCTTCAACTTTTATTAATGAGTGACAGTGACCAAGCACTGATTAGCTTTCCCGCTGCTAGTAGAGCCTGATGGGCAGCTGGGAAACCAACATAGACCATATCAGTTTCTCGCTGCTGCTTGAGAACAGTCTAGCCAGGTCTTAGAGCTATTCGTGGGGTACAAAGGACTCAGGCAGAGGTTTGGAGTAGGGTATTGAAGAGCCTTTCCCTCAGGAGAGTGATAGAACCTCTGAGCAGCGTCCAGCAATAGCATCTTAAAGGAATCCCAGCTCTTCTTTGAATGCTTGTTCATGTCGATTCCATTCTAGGTGTGTGCACGTGCACAGTCATTGGAGATTTTTTTCTTAGCGGTATCCGTAGGGTTGGCAGTGGTGCCCACATGAGTGCTGTGCTCATCTGCTGGTATATCAGGCGCCGACGATCCTACGCCCTCTCAGGGCTTGACTACACTTGCAGATGTAGAGCGCTGAGAATTAAACCAGCCCTTGGAGACTGCAGCAGGGAAAGCGCTGCCATGTGTTCACACTGTCAGCTGCAAGCGCACTGGCGTGGCCACATTTGCAGCACTTTCAGCGGCATTGGGAGCGGTGCATTGGGCAGCTATCTCACAGAGCACCTCTTCCCATTCTGGCGCTGTGGCTTGTGGGAAGGGGGCGGGAGGATGTGGGACATTCTGAGTCCTGTCCTAATGCCCCGTGATGCATCGCTTCGCATCCCAGCAATCCCTGTGCTTCCGTCCACATTTGGCGCCATCTTTCAACGTTTTTTGTACTGTGCGCTCTGTCTTCTCTTTCGGTCTGTGGAAATGGATCCCGAACTGCTGAGGAATATGCTGATGGGTCTCGCCAGCACGTCACGAATTGCAGTCGAGTTACTCCTTAAGCTACGAAGTGACAGTGAGGAGTCCGATGATGATGTCCACTCACATAATGCTTACAACGCGAGATTGCTTGTGGCATTTACGGACATGCTCACCACCGTGGAACACTGCTTTTGGGCTTGGGAAACAAACACTGAGTGGTGGGATCACATCGTCATGCAAGTCTGGGATGACAAACAGTGGCTGCAGAACTTTTGGATGAGAAAAGCCACTTTCATGGGACTGTGTGCTGAGCTTGCCCCCACCCTGCGGCGCAAGGACACGAGATTGAGAGTTGCCCTGACGGTGGAGAAGCGGGTGGTGGTTTGTGAAGCTACAGGTGGACTGGGTGGTGAAGCTACAGATGTTGGAGGCTGTTGGTGGCAATAAGAACCCGGATGTTGGGGAAAGTGGGTTGGCGGTGACATGGGGGCACAAGCGAAAGTTTTGGGACAAGAGCTGCAGGGGGGGAGCGGGCGCGGATATGCTCCGCCTGCATTGTTACGAGCGCCTGTATCGAGTCCACTTGGTGCTCCATGATGCTTAGCAGCTGCTCTGTGCTTTGGTGCCGGCGATCTGCATTCTGCTGGTGGACCCTCCTTTCACTCTCCCGCCACTCCTCCACTTTTTGATTTTCATTAAGGGACTGCTGCATGACTTCATGTAGCATGTCCTCTTTGCTTCTTCGCGGATGCTTCCTGATTCTTTGGAGTCTTTCAGCCGTTGATAACAAGGACGGCTGGAATCTCAAGGTTGCCTCTGTAAAGCCAAAATGCAACACTTAACAGAGGCAGCATTGTTCACACCAGACAGAGCAATGATTCGGCCATACTTAAAGACAAGCACAGTGTACACAATAGTAGAAATTGCCCATCCCAAAGTGAGCACACATAACCCACAAGAGCCCCAAAATGGTGAGTAAGCACAGGGGCAAGGGGGACTGATTGTTTCACGGCTGTACTGTCCTGTGGGGTTCTGTGCCTTGGAGAGAGCCAACAGCTGCAGGGGGCCCCTATACTCAACACTGTCCCCACATTTTCCACAGGATAAGTTGGTCCTGGAAGATATCTCGCTGCTGAGGGTGACCTGGGAAGCAAGGGAGGGTCTTCTACTACAATGTGGCTTCCGCCCTGGCCCATATGCAGCTTGCCTGTGTGCAGTAATGGTCTCCCCGCCCCTCACGGCACAGTGGCATGGACATGTTAGCATTACTGGGACGAGGAGCATAGTAGCTCTGCCAAGGAACCTGCGCAAGCGGATAGCCCAGCTTCTGCATGAGACCTTTGAAGAGATCACTGAGGCCGATTACCGCAATGTGAGAGAGCACATCACCGCCCTATTTCGCATCTAGGCATGGATGCAGTCCTAACCCTCCTTGCCCCAAGAGCCCGCACTGAACAACTTCCTTCCCAAAATAAAAGTTGCTTACCGGGCACCTCCTCTGGTGTTTGTTCTTCCCCAAGCATCATCCTCTGCAACTGGCTACCTTCCTCCTGGCTTGAAAACAGCTCCTGGCTGCATGCATCTAGGAATGCCGGGCTGTCTCCCTCCTCCTCAGCACCCTCGCTCCCACTTTCCTCCTCCTCCTCCTGCCTTGTTGAACTGGGCTCTGAAGTGTCCATGGTGGTACTCAGAGTGGAGTTGGGGTCACCCCCAAGTATTGTGTCCAGCTCTTTGTAGAAATGGCAGGTTGTGGGGGCAGCACCGGAGCGGCGGTTTGCCTCGCATGCTTTGCGGTAGGCATTCCACAGCTCCTTCACTTTAACCCTGCACTGCAGTGCGTCCTGGTCATGGCACCTTTCCATCATGTCCCTTGATATCTGCCCGAAGGTATCATAATTCCTACAACTGGAGCGCAGCTGGGACTGGACAGCTTCCTCCCCCCAAACACTGATGAGGCCCAGCACCTTGCCATTGCTCCATACTGGGGATCGCCTGGCATGTGGAGGCATGGTTACCTGGAAAGATTCGCTGAGATCGCTCCACCCCTGGCTGAGCAAAGAGGAAGGGGATTTTCAAAATTCCCAGAGAATTTAAAGGGCGGATCTGACGGTTCGTCACCTGAGGTCAGGGCAGTAGAGTTCAAAGTGATGACCAGAGTGGCTAGACAAGGTATTGTGGGACACTTCTGGAGGCCAATCAGAGCGCATTAATAGACCAGGGCGTCCACACCAGCGGTGCTCCAGCCAGGGCGCAGCAAGTGTTATGCCTCTCATGGAGGTAGATTACCAGGAGTGCTCCAGCCGCAGAGTCCAGGCGCTCTACGTGCCTTGCCAGTGTGGACGCGTCATGAGTTAGGCACCCAGGGCTGTTTTAATGCGCTCTAACTCGCAAGTATATCCAAGCCCATAGTTCCTTCTTACCGCCTGTGGTGATTAGTCGGAGTGCCTTTCCTTGCATTGCTAGGGCTAGCAGTTTTCGTCTTACTGACTTCGAGGCTTAGGGCCTTGTAAATAGTTTATAGTAGTTAGTGTTAAGTAGTTGTTAAGTGTAGTTAGCAGTTAGAGTCCCAGCAGGGACTTCACCACAGGTAAGCCCTGCACGGACTGCAACAAGCCTATGCTTGTGAGTGACCCCCATAGCAGCTGCCTCAAGTGCCTGGGGGAATCACACGATAGAGATAAGTGCTGAATTTGTAAAAATTTGCGGTCCCGCATGGAGAAGGAGCGGGATATTCATTTACCGGTTCTCCTCATGGAGTCTGCCCTTCGTCCGGCTTCCATGCCGTCCCACCAGGACTCACTGAGTGCCTCGGTGTGCTCCCGGCACCGGGCTCCACCCAGCACCATTCCCCATCGCCAGTGCCCAAAAAGAAGGCTAGGAAGCATGGCTCCCTGGCATCAGGCAAGAAGGGATATGGGTCACTGGGCAAGGGACCCACTTTGAGCCACACGGCCACTCTGGAGCCCCACGCTCGTGCCTCCCCGGTCCGGGCCCTTAGCCCCTTGAAAGATCCACCACCAACTCCTGTGAGCGGCATGGGACCTAAACCCCCGGATGGCACCGACGCCTTCACAAGCTTCCCCAGGGCTGAGAGAGCAAAGGCCTCTGCCTGTGCCTCCAATGCAGCACGTGTCTCAGAAACCGATAAAGGCTCCCCACGAGGGCAGGCCAGCTGCTAAGATCCCTCGGGGTAGTAGAGCACTGTCGATCCCCCAAGATGAAGCAACGCTCTCCACCTCCGCACCGCAGGTCACCGGAATCACAGCCTAGACCCTCTGGGGCTCATCCTAGGTCACCGGCACTGTGATCGCGGTCCCCACCATCTCAGCATGGATCGCCTAGAGGAAGATGCTGGTCTCCGTACAACCGGCACTGTTTGCCCTCCCACCAGTCGTCCTCTTGGCGCAGGTTCCGACCTTGTGGGAGTGCTCCCCGTCGCGTTTCTGGTGCCCCCGGCACCGGTCCCCTCGATACCAGCACCGATCCCCTCGCTCCAGGCACCGGTCTCTGGCGGCGACAGTCAGCAAACAAACTCAGGCGTTGACGGCCCCACCGTGGTCACTGGAAGGGGATTCCTCTGGCACGGAATCTCAGTTCAGCCCCTCGCCTAGACTGCACCAGTGCAAGTGGACACCCTAGGCAGTCTGGCCAGTGGCCAGGGCAGTGGCTTTACTGGAGCGCGTGGGGAGTGCTGGTTACAGCATTGCCCCCTTCACACCGCTCATCGGCCACCCCCTCAGAGCAACAGCTGGTGGCACCAATGGCACCAGGCTTCGTGCATCAAGCACGACTCAGAGGTCAAGGCAGAGGAAACTGCGCCCACCCCTAAGCCTCTCTCCCCCAGCGGTGCAATCGTCATCTTCGTCCCCAGTTGAGG